TTCCCTGTGTACTCAGCCAGGTGTTCCCTGTGCGTTCTGCACTCACAGCTGTGCTCAGCCAGGTGTTCCCTGTGTGTTCTGTGCTCTGCCAGGTGTTCTGTGCGTTCTGCACTCACAGCTGTGCTCTGCCAGCTGTTCTGTGCGTTCTGCACTCCCAGCTGTGCTCAGCCTGTGGCATCAGCAGGATGATGATGCCACAAGATCACCAGAGCTCAGGCAGGGACCCGCTCCTTGTGAGGCCCTGGCAGTGGGGAGGGCTGTCCCTGTCCGTGGGGCTGCAGCGTGGCTCTGTGCTCCCCAGGGCTGGGCACACAGGGTCAGACCTTCCTGCTGTCCAGTGGCACATCTCCTGGGTGTGCTCATATTCCTGAACCATTCTGCCCTTGGGCAGGGTGCTCAGGGATGTTGCCTTTTCCCGGGGGCTCCCTGGGCATCTCCTGGGGGGCTCCTGCAGCTGGCAGTGCTGGCTCTGAGCGGGCTCTCTCCCTGCAGGCCTACAACATCCACGTGAATGGGGTGCTGCACTGTCGGGTGCGCTACAGCCAGCTCCTGGGCCTGCACGAGCAGGTACGGGGACACCGGGGCAGAGCTCCTGCTCCTCACCTTCCAGCAGGGCTCTGGGTGCTGGGAGCTCTCTGCTCCCCTTGCTGGTCCTGGGGGTCAGCGAGGGTGGGGGTCCTGCAGCGGCACTCTGCTCTTGTCCCAGCTAAGGAAGGAGTATGGCGCCAACGTGGTCCCAACCTTCCCCCCAAAGAAGATCTTCACGCTCACCCCAGCAGAGGTGGAGCAGCGCCGGGAGCAGCTGGAGAAGTACATGCAGGCTGGTAAGCTGGGCAGGGCACGGCCCGTGCCTTCCTCCCTGCCCTGCTCCGTTCCCTGCGGCGCCTCTTGCACCTCCCAGGGCAGCCCTGGCGTTTGGTGGCCTTGTCCCCTGGGTGCCAGCTCCTGTGCCAGCCCTGGTGTTTGATGGCCTTGTCCCCCGGGTGCCAGCTCCTGTGCCAGCCCCTGCCCTGCCCTGGCACAGTGGGGCTGTGCGGGGGGGTTCCTGGCTGGCCCCAGGCAGTGCTGTGTGTCCCCGTCCCTTCCCACGGGACTCCTGAATGCTCGTGCCCCTCCTGCAGTGCGGCAGGACCCGACACTGGGCGGCAGCGAGACCTTCAACAGCTTCCTGCGCAAGGCCCAGCAGGTGAGGGCACACCTGGGGTGGCTCTGTGCCCCCGGGCTGTGTGAGGGGCTGGGTGCCAGCGCTGTTCTCTGTGCAGGAGACGCAGCAGATCCCCACGGAGGAGGTGCTGCTGGAGGTGCTGCTCTCCAATGGGCAGAAGGTCAAGGTCACCATCCTGACGTCGGACCAGACAGAGGATGTCCTCGAGGTGCCACAGCTGTCCTGCTGGCTGGGACCAGCCCCTCCTGCTGCCTTCTGGGCTTCCCCACAAGGCTGGGGCTCTCTTGGCCTGGTAGCCCCACTGCCCTCCCCTGCCACCTGCCCACCCTGGAGCAGGGCTGAGCTGGTGGGGCTGAGAGCTGGGAGCTGGAATGGGTGTGCTGCAGGGTGTGTCTGGGTCCAGGCTGGTGTTTGGGGTCCCCTCGCTCTTTCCTGGTTGCAAGGAGCCCAGGCCTGGCTCAGGGCAGCAGAGGTGCTGCCTTCCTGCTGTTGGGAGAATGCACATGGGCTGGGTCTGGCCACGATGCTGGGACTATATTGGGACTATCCTGCTCTTCCTCCCAGGCTGTGGCCTCCAAGCTGGATCTGCCAGATGACCTGGTCGGCTACTTCAGCCTCTTCCTAGTGAGGGAGACCAAGGATGGAGCTTTCTCCTGTGAGTGGAGCCCGCTGTGGTGGGACACGTGCTGTGCCCCTGCCTGGAGTGAGGGCTGTGTGCTTGGGCCCTGCCCTGGCTGGGGGCACAGCTGTGCTCCTGGGGGCACCCTGGTGTGGGGCCATGGGGCTCCTGCTGCCCAGAGGGGCTGCTGAGCTGCTGTTTCCCCGCAGTTGTGAGGAAGCTGCAGGAGTTTGAGCTGCCCTACGTGTCAGTGACCAGCCTGCACAACCCCGAGTTCCAGATCATCCTGCGCAAGAGGTGAGCGGGGCAGCACTGGGGTGGTGCCCAGGGCTCCTGGATCCACACAGGGACCCTCCTCTCCTGCCATTGCTGCCCAGGGCTCCCTGTTACACACAGGGACCCTCCCCTCCTGCCATTGCTGCCCACTGATGCTTTGGCCCCCAGGAACGCACCTGAGCATCCCTAACTGTGACACTGGAGCAGGGGTTGCCCTGCTGTGCTCAGCTCATTCCTGCCTTCCCATGGCAGCTGGTTTAGATGGGGAGCAGGGCACGATGACTGATGGTTACCAGCCCACAGGAGGGTGATTTTCTCCTCACTGCTGGAGCAGGCTAACCCCTGTGGTTCCCTTCCAGCTACTGGGACTCAGCCTATGACGACGATGTGATGGAGCACCGTGTGGGGCTGAACCTGCTGTATGCACAGGTGAGGGTTGGTGTGGCACAGCCAGGTGAGGACAGGCACTGTGCAGGGGCTGGGGGGCTCTGGTCCCAGGCGCTCACCAGCCTCTGCTGCCTGCAGACGGTGTCAGACATCGAACACGGGTGGATCCTTGTCAACAAGGAGCAGCACCGGCAGCTGAAGTCCCTGCAGGAGAAGGTCTCCAAGAAGGAGGTAGGACAGGGAGCAGTGCCACCACGACCGGGGCAGCTCTGGCTCTGCACCAGCCCTCTCCCCTGTGGTACCGGGTGGTGTCCTGTTGCTGAGCAGCCCTGCCCTGCCTGCAGTTCATCCGCCTGGCGCAGACCCTCAAGTACTACGGCTATCTCAAGTTTGACCCCTGTGTCACGGATTTCCCCGAGAAGGGCTGCCACGTCGTGGTCAGCGCCGGCAACAACGAGCTCAACTTCCAGGTGCGGCTGCCCAACGAGCAGATCAAGGAGGGCAGCTTCAAGGTCACTCGCATGCGGTGCTGGCGGGTCACATCCTCGGTGAGTGACGCCTGGGGAGCAGGGAGGGCGCTGGGGGGGCACCCCTTCCTAGGAAAGGTGCTGGCTCTGACTCCAGCCTCTGGCCCAGCAGGCCTGGAGAGGGTCTGAGTCATGCCATGAGGGGCTGAGGGGATCACTGGTGTGAGGACACTGGAGGGGACCTGACAGCGGCAGAGGACTGGTGGGCACTGGGCAGGTGTGCCACACTTGGCTCGGTGCTGCCCTCGAGCTGCACTGGTGTCTGGGGAGCTGCTCCTTCCCCTCTGGAGGCTCCCAGCCTTGGTGTGTGTCCGTGCAGGTGCCCATGAACAATGGCCCTTCGGGCAGCAGCCCAGGCAAGTCCGAGGTGAAGCTGGAGCTGGCTTTTGAATACCTGATGAGCAAGGACCGGCTGCAGTGGGTCACCATCACCAGCCCACAGGTAGAGCTGCCTGCATGGTGGGCTGGGGGTGGCTGTCAGGGGAAGGGCTGGGCCCTGCACAGGGTGTGGGAAGGCTGTGGGGTGCACAGAGCCCCGTGACACTTCTCCCTTGCAGGCCATCATGCTGAGCATCTGCTTGCAGTCCATGGTGGATGAGCTGATGGTGAAAAAATCTGGAGGCAGCATCCGCAAGGTGAGGGCTGGATGATGGCTCTAGAGTGGGATCCCAGCCTAGGGCCTGGGCTGGGTCCTGAGCGCTCCCCTCGGGATGGGGCCAGCATCTCCAGGCTGGTTGTAAGCCCAGGGCTGATGCTGGGCGCTGGGGCTGAGCTGAGCTGCTCTGCAGATGTTCCGGCGGCGGGTGAACGGGGCCCTGCGGCGCTCGGACAGCCAGCAAGCCGTGAAGTCACCCCCGCTGCTGGTGAGTGCGACCTGCAGCCCTTCGTGGGGGACACGCGCAGTCACAGGCGCTGACGGGTTGTGAACCAGAACTCACTGCCTCCAGAGGAGGCACTGCTGCCCCGGGGCAGGGCTGTGGTGCCCTGCTTCCAGAGCCCTGGGAAGGGACAGAGGTCCTGCAGTGAGCCAGACTCCCTGGGGACGGAGGGGGCAGGTGGAAGGAGGGGTGGGTGTTGTGCCCCATGACCCTGTGCTGCCCAACTGTGCTGCCCTCACAGGACTCACCTGACGCCTCCTGGGAGCCCATGGCCAAACTCTCGGTGAGTTGTGTGTGGGTGCACCAGACACCTCAGGCTAAGCGGGTAGGGGAGCTAGGGCTGTCCTCCCTAACGTCTCCCTTCTCCACAGAGCAAGCTCACTTCTGTCAGCCTGCGGGGGATCAGCCACTCCAGCTCTGCTAACGACGTGGGCGCTAACGACTTCCACGGCAATTACGCCTTTGAGGGCATTGGCGATGAGGATCTGTAGTGCCCCCTGCCCAGGACAGCCCCGGCCTGAGCGAGGGCCTTCGCTGAGGAATGTACGACCTGCAGCCAGGTTGCAATCAACGTGCCTCTCACCTGCTCCATCCACCTTTCCCTGCTCCCCGGGGCTGGGAGCTCCCCCCAGCCCGCCACTGCCTGGGGCGGGGGCAGCTGAACTCCTCCCGCTGCTGGCTCCAGCTGGGAGAGGGCTCGTTTGACCTGAACAGTTGGCCCGGGCAGAGCCCTGGAGCTGCAGTGCAGGGCCCGGCCCGGCCTGGGGGCAGAGCTGCTCCTGTCCCAGCTGGGAAGGCCTGGCCCGGCCTGGGGGCAGAGCCAGGCAGGCTCCGTAATGCCAAATTAGCATTTAGGTTCGTGCTCCGAGACAGAGTGCAGTAAGCTGTCTCGGGGGCTCCACGCAGAGTCCCCTCTAACCCGCTCATAGACGCCAGCATAATCTAGGCTTGTAACCAAGTATCTCCTGCTGCTCAGCCCGACAGAGCATTAATGGACAGTAACTGATGTTTACACACTGCAACAATGATTAAAACGGATCCTGATTGGTACCAGGCTGTCTGTTGGGGGGTGGCTGCTGTCCCTCCCCTCACGGCACTGCCAGCCCCGTGCCGTCCTCCTCAGTAGCAGAACAAGGCCCCCAGGGTGAAGAGCAGATAACAAAACCGACTGTTTAATGCTTTTATACACAATATAAATTACACCGACCAGCACGGGGACCGCCATGGAACCAGTCCTGTTCCCCCCTCCCCCCTTGTCCCCAAACGCTGGCAGAGGAAGGCTCCGGCAGGCAGAATCAGGCAGCTGGGGATGTGGCCGTGCTGCCACACGGGCAGGGCTCAGAGCCGCCGGTCGTCACTTCACCCTGCCCAGGCAGGACGGGGCTGCCGAGGCCCAGTGTGCCTCCGGGCCTGCTGTAGGGCAGCCCTGAGCCCCCCGGAGGTGCCTGCCTGTCCTCCCTCCCCCAGGGAGGGCAGGCACCCCAGGCCCCCGCCGGGCTAAGTGCTGTCTCAGGGCAGGGCCGTGCCCACGGCTGGGGGGGCCAGGAGGGCTTTGGCATTGCGCGGGTTCACCCAGCTCTCGGCCGTGTGGCCGTGGATCTTCTGGTGGCGCTTGTAGTTGTCCCAGTGCCCGGTGGTGTAGGAGCAGTCCCGGCACTGGAAGGGCTTCTCGCCCGTGTGCCGCAGCATGTGCCGCTTCAGGTTCATGCTCTGGTTGCAGCTGTAGCTGCAGAGGCTGCACTGGAAGGGCTTGTCGCCTGAGTGGATGCGCCCGTGACGCTTGAGGTTGGCCAGGTTGCCGCAGGCGTAGTCGCAGAGCTGGCACTTGTAGGGCTTCTCGCCCGTGTGCACGCGCTGGTGCCGCTTCAGGTTGTCCAGGTGGGCGGAGGCGTAGGGGCAGAGCGGGCAGGCGAAGGGCTTCTCCCCGCTGTGCGTCTTCATGTGCCGCGCCAGGTGGTTGGGGTAGTGCGTGACGAAGGGGCACAGGCTGCAGGCGAAGCCCTTGTCCCCGGCGCCCTTGCGGGGGCTGGCACCCGGCTCGGTGCCCAGCACCGCCAGGCTGCAGCGCCCGCACACCTGCTCGGCCAGGCCCTCGTCCTGCGCGAAGCCGTCGTCTAGCACCAGCCCGCACATGCGGCACGTGAAGGGGAAGAGCAGCTCAGGCAGCGCGGCCGCCTCCTCGCCCCGCAGCCGGGCACAGCCGGGCAGGAAGGGGCCGCTGCCGCTGCCCACGTGCAGGCTCAGCTCTGGCAGCAGCGGCTCTGCGGGACAAAGAGATGGGGCTGTGAGCTGGGTGGCACAGCGCCAGCGAGGACTGGCTCTGAGACGAGCCCCAGTGCCAGTGAGGACTGCCTCTATGAGCCACAGTGCCAGCGAGGACTGGCTCAGTGATGAGCCCCAGTGAGGACTGGCTCTGTGATGAGCCCCAGTGGCAGCGAGGACTGGCTCTGTCACAAGCCCCAGTGCCCTGGTGAGCCCGGCAGTAACTGACTTTGGGGTCAGCAGCAGGATCCGTGCCCTGCACCAGCCCCAGAGCCCCCACAGTAGCTCTCCCCACATCCCCACACCCTCCCACCTTTACCTGGGTCCTTGTCCCGCCGGTGTGGCGCCTCGCCCTCGGGCAGGCGGTGGCTGAGCATGTGCCGCTTCAGGTTGCGGCTCTGGTTGCAGCGGTAGTCGCAGGCGGCGCACTGGAAGGGCTTGTCCTGGCTGTGGACGCGCTCGTGGCGTTTGAGGTTGCCCAGGCTGCTGCAGGCGAAGCTGCAGCCCGTGCAGCGGTACGGCTTCTCGCCGGTGTGCGTGCGCAGGTGCCGCGTCAGGTTCACCAGCTGGGCGGAGGCGTAGGCGCACTGCGGGCATGCGAAGGGCTTCTCCCCGTTGTGCGTCTTCATGTGGCGCTTGAGGTGGCTGGAGTAGTGCGAGGCGAAGGGGCAGAGCTGGCAGGAGTAGACGATGCGCTGGCCGCGGCCGCCCTCGGCGCCGGCGCACTGCAGGCAGCTCTGGCCCAGGCTGGCGGCCAGCTGCAGCCCGCACTGGCGGCAGGGCAGCGCCGCGGGGCCCGGCTCGCCACCCTCCTCGGGGTCGCTCTCCACGCTCAGCTGCTGGTACCCAGACGAGCAGTCGTCGTCGCTCAGGGCGTACGCTGGGATGGCGATCTTCCCCACCAGGGTGTCTGCTGAGAACACCGCGGGCACGGGGCGGCGTCAGCCAGGCTGGCCGGGGCACTGCCCCTGTGCCTGTGCCACCCTGGGGCACTGCCCCTGTGCCTGTGCCCCCCGGGGCACTGCCCCTGTGCCTGTGCCCCCTGTGCCCCCCAGGGCACTGCCCCTGTGCCTGTGCCACCCTGTGCCACCCCGGGGCACTGCCCCTCTGCCTGTGCCCCCCGGGGCACTGCCCCTGTGCCTGCACCCCCCAGGGCACTGCCCCTGTGCCTGTGCCACCCTGGGGCACTGCCCCTGTGCCTGTGCCCCCCGGGGCACTGCCCCTGTGCCTGTGCCACCCTGTGCCACCATGGGGCACTGCCCCTGTGCCTGCACCCCCCGGGGCACTGCCCCTCTGCCTGTGCCACCCTGGGGCACTGCCCCTCTGCCTGTGCCCCCGTGCCACCCCGGGCACTGCCCATGTGCCCGTGCCACCCTGGGGCACTGCCCCTGTGCCTGCGCCCCTGTGCCATTGCCCCTCAGCCTGCGCCCCCCGTGCCCCCCGGGAGGAGCCCCCCACACCGTGCACTGCACGGAGCAGCCCCGCAGCCACAGCCTGCCCCAGCGCCCTGCTCTGGGTGTCTCGGGAAACCCTGACACTCGTGCATGGCTGGGCAGGACCCCGGCACCGGCAAGGGTGGGAGGACAGGTGGGTGCATCACCCACACTGGCACTGCTGGGCCCGGGGGGTAGAGGGAGGTGGGCACAGCCCGGCCCAGGCTGGAGAAAGGGGTGCCCTTAAAGCTGCTCTGTGCCCCTCTCACTGTGGCACCGCCCCAGCCCCGGGGTGGCAGCTGGTCACACTGGCATGGCTGGCACAGGGAGCTCCAACACCAGCCCCTTCTACCCTGCAGGAAACATTCCCCTGCCCCACAGAGCTCTGTCCAGTGCCCGCAGGGAAGGCTGTGCCAGGCTCTCAAAGGGAACTTCCCAGCTGGGCACAGACTCATCCTGCTGCAGCCCCTGAGCTCCACAAGGGCCCCAGGCTGGTGCTCGGGGCTGCAGGGGCAGCTCACCAGGACCAGCTGAGAGCTGTGCCCTGCTGGCCCTGTTCTGTGCCAGGGCAGCTCACCAGAGCAGCTGAGAGCTGTGCCCTGCTGGCCCTGTTTTGTGCCAGGGCAGCTCACCAGGAGCAGCTGAGAGCCATGCCCTGCTGTGTGCCAGGGCAGCTCACCAGGAGCAGCTGAGAGCCGTGCCCTGCTGGCCCCGTTCTGTGCCTGCCCTGCACTCCTGGGGCCTGTCAGGCTCAGCAGCTGCCCACCCTGGACTGTGCCCCTGCTGCTGCCGCCCTGGCTGTGTCCAGCTGATGAGCCTGACCTGTGCTGTGGGACGGGGCAGCCCCTCCAGGCTGTTCCACGAGCCCTGCTGGGAACACAGACACCAGAGAAGGGCATCCTGCCAAGGCCTGGCTCTAACAGGGGAACTCCTGACCCTGCCCCGAGCCCTCTGCCAAGGGACCCCCTTTCTCCTCAGCTCAGCCCCAGCCACACCAAGGGAACCCCTGTGCCCTCAGGCCAGCAGTGCCCCAGCACCCCCAGAGCAGGGTCCCCTAAAGGGCCATCAGGGCCCACATGGCACAGCGTGCCTGTCCTGCCTGGGTCAGTGGGCTGAGCTCCTGGTCCTGCTCCCAGGCTGGGGCTGAATGGGAGGACAGGAATTGCTGGTGGAATTTGGGAAGGACGGGAATTGCTGGTGGAATTTGGGAATGAGAGAAAGTCCCGGTGGAATTTGGGAAGGACAGGTATTGTAGAATTTGGGAAGGATAGAGAGGAATTCCCGGTGGAATGTGCCCCCAGAGCCCCGGCAGGCGCCCAGCAGCCGTTCCGGGGCAGGGAAGCAGAGCCCTCGAGCAGCCCCATCCATCCCTCGGTGCCAGAGCAGGACACGGCACAGCCCAGCCGAGCACACGGAGCGCGGCCCGGCCCCGGGGGCAGCGGGGGGCGGGCACGGGGCCGCACAGTCCTGCCCTCCTCTCTGGCCGTTCCGTTCCCGCGGTGCCCGGGGCGGGGAGTGCCTCCCGCCGGTACCGTGGGCAGCTCCCGGAGCTGAGCAGCGCTCGCTGCTCCGGCTGCCTCGGCCGGGGCTGACCCAGGCTCGGCAGCCGCGGCGGGAGAGGCGCTGTCCGCGGCACCGGGGCTGAGCGCGCTCGGTTCGGCCCGCAGCACCGAGGGGCGCGGTGGAACGGGACCCCGGTGGAACGGGACCCGGGGCTGAGCGCTGCGCTGGCTCTGGGATGAGCCCGGCCGCGGGGCGCGGCCCCGAACCCACCGCGGGGACACGTCGTGCCCGGGCCCCCGGCGGGAAGGGGCGTTCGGGGATCGGTGCCGGGGGTCGGAACCCACCCCGGGGCCCCGTCGGGGGCCGGGCCTCCCCCGCGAGAGGAAGCTCGGCCGGAGCCCGCGCCGGGCGCGCCCGTGGCAGGGCGGGCCCGGCCGGATGCGCCGAGCGCGGGCCCGGTACGGCCCGTTCGGGCCGCGTCGCCGCCGGCGGGGCTGCCGGAGAGGGGCGGCGTCCCCGCGGGGCCGCACGCACCTGGCGGTCCCTTCTCGGAGGCCGGGCCACGGCCCAGCAGCAGGTCCCCGGGCAGCACCACCGCCGCTCTTGCCGTCTCCTCGGTGCCATCCTCGGCGTCCGCTGCAGCGCTCCGAGCGCCGCGGGTCCCCGCCGGGCCGCCGCCGCCGCCCCCCGGGCCCGCCGCGCACTCACCCTTCACCGGCTGCGGGTGGCTCTGCTTCCGCCGGGGCATCGTGGCGGGCCCCGGCGCCGGCCCGGCCCCGCCGCCCGCCCGCCCGCGGCCCGCCAGCCGCCCCCGCCAGCCCGGGGCGGCCGCCGCCGCCCCGCCTCGACCGGACACTTCCGCTTCCGCTTCCCCCGGGCGCGCGGGGGCTGGCCCGGAAGTGCCCGCGCAACCCGGAAGCGGAGCGGGCGCGTGCGCAGAGGCGACCCCGCCCTCCCGCGGCCGCGGCATGAGGGGAGCGGGCCCGGGCCCGGCGGGGGCACGCGGCCGGAACGGGACGGGACCGAGCACGGCGCTCGGGCGGGGCGGGACAGCAGCGGCTCCGCCCCTTCCGGCCGGCGGGAGGCGGTGGCACCGGCGGCACCGGGACCGGGGCCGCTGCCGCTGCCGGTCTCTGTGCCCCGTCAGGGCCGGCTGCGGCTCCTCCCCCGGTGCCCTTCGGGTCCGGCCCCGCCGAGCGGCAGCGCGGAGGGCAGGCCCCGGTGAGTCCCCGCCGGTATCCCCGCGCGGTCACACCGGGCACACCCGGGGCCGGTGCCGTCGCGCTCTGGCCGGTGCCGCCGTGCTCCGGCCGGGCCCGCAGGTGGCCGGTGCAGCCCGGCCGTGTCCCCGGGCTGTGCCGTCCCCACCCGCTCCCTCGCGGGGCTCTCCCGGTGGCTCCGCTCCGTGTCCGGGCTGCGTGAGCCGCGCTCGGCCCGTCACGATCGCCGCTGTCCCTCCGCAGGTGCCGCGGGTCCCGGGGGAGCCGTGGCCGTGCCGCGCTGCCGGCGATGATTCCCCGCTGACAGGTACGGCCCGGGCCGTGTGCCCATCCCCGGTCACCGCGGAAATTCCCCGCTTCCCGGCTGCCTGTGGCTCCGTGTCCCCCGAGAATTGCCATGTCCCCCGGGATGTGCCGTGTCCCCCGAGAATTGCCGTGTCCCCAGGGAAGCTCCGTGTCCCCCGTGGGATGCAGAGCCCCCGGTGCCCGGCCCAGCAGAGCAGCTGTGCTGGGGCTCCCCAGCCTCGCCCGAGTGTCGCTGGTCCTGCCCTGGCCCGGGAGAGCTCTGTGGGCTGTGGCAGTGCAGGAGGGCAGGGGGCAGCTCTGGGGGGGACAGAGGGAGGGACCACGGGGATGGGGTGTGCTGTGGCCATGGATTGGCGAGCTCTAAGCGAGGGAAACGGACAGATTGACCCCGCTGCAGGAATCGCCTGGCTCCTGGGCACTGAATGAGCTGGGTCTCAGGTCCCTTGGCAGTGAACTGCGGTGAAAGGAGCTTTAACCTTGTGTCACCCTGGGCAGGGGCTGGGTGTGAGTGTCACCCTGCCCTGTCACCCTGGGTGCACACTGGGGCAGGGACAGGCCTGGGGCAGGTTGGGATGGATGCACACTGGGACAGGCCTGGGCTGGCTGTGCCGGTGTTGCCACTCTCTTCCCCACACTGGGGATTTGGGACCTCTGTGGTCCTGGATCTGTAATGTGGAGCTGAAGGAGGCAGGATGGGGCAGAACAGGCTCGGGGGTTGTTCTAGACACAGGCTGGCTCTCAGGGGCTGTCCCAGGCTCTCAGGCTGGCTCTTAGGGCTATCCCAGGCACAGACCCTGTCCCGGGCACAGGCTGGCTCTCAGGGGCTGTCTCAAGCTGGCTCTCAGGGCTATCCCAGGCACAGACCCTGTCCCGGGCACAGGCTGGCTCTCAGGGGCTGTCTCAGGCTGGCTCTCAGGGCTATCCCAGGCACAGACCCTGTCCCGGGCACAGGCTGGCTCTCAGGGGCTGTCTCAGGCTGGCTCTCAGGGCTATCCCAGGCACAGACCCTGTCCCGGGCACAGGCTGGCTCTCAGGGCTATCCCAGGCACAGAGGCTGTTCCCGGTCACAGGCCGGCTCTCGGTTCTCTCTCTCTGCTCTCCGCAGGCCGAGCGGCACCGCCCGCCCCTGCCCCTGCCCCCGGGGATGGCTCCGTTCCCGCCCGCGGTGAGGCCCGGTAGGAGCCGGGCCATGGGGGCCGCAGCCGGGCCCGCTGCTCCCCGCTGCCCGCGGTAGCTCACGGCAGCGCCCCGGGGCACCATGGAGCAGCCCACGCGTGTGCCCGGGCCCCGCCGCCTCCTGGGCTGCTTCAGGAGGAAGCCTCGGCCCGCCGGGGAGGAGCCGCCGCCGGAACCGGAGCCCGCGGAGCCGCGGGTGGCGCTGGCCCCGGGCGAGGCGCTGCAGGAGTGCCCGCTGTGCCTGCTGCCGCAGCCGCCCGAGGCGTTCCCCGCGCTGGGCTGCTGCTCGCACCGCTCCTGCCGCGGCTGCCTGCAGCAGTACCTGCGCCTGGCCGTCGCCGAGAGCCGCGTACCCGCGGCCTGCCCGCACTGCCCCGCCGCCATCCCGCCCCACGACGTGCACCGCCTGCTCCCCGAGCCCGCCCTCCGCGACAAGTACGAGGAGTTCCTGCTGCGGCGGCTGCTGGTGGCGGACCCCGGCACCCGCTGGTGCCCCGCTCCTGACTGCAGGTACCGCGGCACGGGCGGGAATGCGGGGCGGGAATGCCGGGCGGGAATGCGGGAATGCCGGGCGGGGCGGGCCCCTCCTGCAGCAGCGGGCTGTGCCCCTGTCCCGTGAGCCCTTCCCAGGCTGGGCTCCCATCCCTTTGTCCTGCCTGGGGCCAGCTGTGCCCAGGGAGGTGTCCAGTCCTGGTCTGGCTGCAGGGCCTGTGCAGCTCTTGTCTCCTTGGCTGTGCAGCTCTGTCTGCCCGGGCCGGTGCCCTTGGCTGTGCCGGGTACTCTGTGAGCCCCAGGGCTGCTGGACAGGGGGGGATCCCAGCTGAGGGTGGGTCCCAGCTCTCCTGGGCCAGGGCTGTGGCTCCAGGTCAGTGCAGGACCAGGGCTGGCACGGCCTGGCCTGGCTGTGCAGGGAGGGGTGCCCTGCTGTCCCCAGTCCCAGCTGGTGCCCTGCTGTGCCCAGCCCCAGCTGGTGCCCTCTCCCTACAGCTACGCCGTCCTCGCCCATGGCTGTGCCGAGTGTCCCCGCCTCACCTGCGGCCGCGAGGGCTGTGGCACCGAGTTCTGCTACCACTGCCGGCAGCCCTGGCACCCCGAGGGCCCCTGCGCTCCACCGACCCCCGGCCTGGCCACGCCCTCAGCACAGCCCGAGGAGCCCGCCCACGGTGAGGCAGACCTGGGCAGGGGTGGAGCTGCGGGGCTGGGGCTTGGCACAGCCCTGTGCCCCTGTGCCCCTGTGCCTGCTGCCTGGGGGGCTGCTGCAGCCAGGAGCCAGCCAGAGCTCCCTCTGCTGCATCTCACAGCCCCTGTGCCACTTGGGCCGGGGTGTGTAGAGGGACCACGGCTCCCCCCATGGTTCCTGTGGGGTGGGGAATGCTGGGAGGGGTGCACACTGGGACAGGGACAGGCTGGCATGGATGCACACTGGACAGGCTGGCATGGATGCACTCTGGGACAGGCTGGCATGGATGCACACAGGGACAGGCTGGCATGGATGCACTCTGGGACAGGCTGGCATGGATGCACACAGGGACAGGCTGGGATGGATGCACACTGGACAGGCTGGGATGGATGCACTCTGGGACAGGCTGGCATGGATGCACTCTGGGACAGGCTGGGATGGATGCACACTGGACAGGCTGGCATGGATGCACACTGGACAGGCTGGGATGGATGCACACTGGACAGGCTGGCATGGATGCACTCTGGGACAGGCTGGGATGGATGCACACTGGACAGGCTGGCATGGATGCACACTGGGACAGGGACAGGATGGATGCCCACTGGGACAGGCTGGCATGGATGCACACTGGACAGGCTGGGATGGATGCACTCTGGGACAGGCTGGCATGGATGCACACTGGACAGGCTGGGATGGATGCACACTGGACAGGGACAGGCTGGATGCACACTGGACAGGCTGGGATGGATGCACACTGGACAGGGACAGGCTGGATGCACACAGGGACAGGCTGGCATGGATGCACACTGGACAGGCTGGCATGGATGCCCACTGGGACAGGCTGGGATGGATGCACACTGGGACAGGGACAGGATGGATGCCCACTGGGACAGGCTGGCATGGATGCACACTGGACAGGCTGGGATGGATGCACACTGGGACAGGCTGGGATGGATGCACACTGGACAGGCTGGGATGGATGCACACTGGGACAGGCTGGCATGGATGCACACTGGACAGGCTGGGATGGATGCACACTGGGACAGGGACAGGCTGGGATGGATGCACACTGGGACAGGCTGGGATGGATGCACACTGGACAGGCTGGGATGGATGCACACTGGGACAGGGACAGGATGGATGCCCACTGGGACAGGCTGGGATGGATGCACACTGGACAGGCTGGGATGGATGCACACTGGACAGGCTGGGATGGATGCACACTGGGACAGGGACAGGATGGATGCCCACTGGGACAGGCTGGGATGGATGCACACTGGACAGGCTGGCATGGATGCACACTGGACAGGCTGGGATGGATGCACACTGGGACAGGCTGGCATGGATGCACACTGGACAGGCTGGGATGGATGCACACTGGACAGGCTGGGATGGATGCACACTGGACAGGCTGGCATGGATGCACTCTGTTCTGTCCTGCTCCCCCATCCCATCTTGTCTCCCCCCAGCTGAGGCCGAGGACATCAAGGTCTGTCCTCGCTGCAGCGCCTTCATCATGAAGATCAACGATGGCAGCTGCAACCGCATGAACTGCACAGTGTGTGGCTGCCTCTTCTGCTGGCTCTGCCTGCAGGAGATCTCTGATGTGCACTTCCTGAGGTCAGTGCAGGGCCTCGGGGGCTGGAGACTCTGACAGGAGCTGGGGGTCCGTGGGACTGCCCTGGCCGAGGCTGGGGGCTCTGACAGGAGCTGGGGGCTCTCTGGGACTGCCCTGGCCGAGGCTGGGGGCTCTGACAGGAGCTGGGGGCTCTCTGGGACTGCCCTGGCCGAGGTTGGGGGCTCTGACAGGAGCTGGGGCTCTCTGGGACTGCCCTGGCCGAGGCTGGGGGCTCTGACAGGAGCTGGGGGCTCTCTGGGACTGCCCTGGCCGAGGTTGGGGGCTCTGACAGGAGCTGGGGGCTCTCTGGGACTGCCCTGGCCGAGGCTGGGGGCTCTGACAGGAGCTGGGGCTCTCTGGGACTGCCCTGGCCGAGGCTGGGGGCTCTGACAGGATGGGGAGCTGGCATGGGGCAGGCAGGCCCTGCCCCAGGTTTGGGGTTAGCCAGGGGGAGCAGGGTGCTCTGTGCTGCTGGCTCTGGCAAGGCTGGGGCTGCTGCTGGCACCCCGTGGGAGGCAGCTGGAGCTCAGGGTTGGGGATTCTGGCTGCCTGCTCTCAGGTGGGCTCGTGGGCGTCCCTGACGTGGGGCCAGGCTCTGCTGGTCTGTGCTGCCACCTTGGCTCTGTGCCCACAGCCCCTCTGGCTGCACCTTCTGGGGGAAGAGGCCGTGGTCCCGGACCCGCAGGATCCTGTGGCAGCTGGGCATGGTGCTGGGAGCGCCCATGGTCATCTCCCTTGCTGCAGGCGTTGCTGTCCCTGTCATCACCATTGGGATCCCCATCTACATGGGTAGGAAGGTACTGGCAGCTGTGGTCCTGCTCCCTGCTGGGCCTGGGAGCCCATGGCTCTTGGCCTGGACAGACCTGCAGTGCTCCTGCTGCCCACAGCACACCCCTGTGCCACCCTGGGTACCCTCAGCACATCCCTGCGCCACCCTGGGTACCCTCAGCACATCCCTGTGCCACCCTGGGTACCCTCAGCACACCCCTGTGCCACCCTGGCTGCCCTCAGCACATCCCTGTGCCACCCTGAGTACCCTCAGCACACCCCTGTGCCACCCTGAGTACCCTCAGCACATCCCTGTGCCACCCTGGCTGCCCTCAGCACATCCCTGCGCCACCCTGAGTACCCTCAGCACACCCCTGTGCCAGCCTGGCTGCCCAGTCCTGCCTTGCCAGGACCTGCTGCTGCCCCCAGCAGCCCCTGCCAGTGCAGGTGTGCCCAGCCTGGGGAGTGGGGTCAGGGTGGGGGAAGGGAGGAAGGGTCCTAGGGGGGGTCCCCAGGGACACCTGTGCTGGGGTGGCAGTGCTGTGGTGGCACTGTCCCTGTGGTGGCACTGTCCCTGGGGTGGCAGTGCTGTGGGGCACTGTCCCTGTGGTGGCACTGTCCCTGGGGTGGCATTGCTTGGTGGCACTGTCCCTGGGGTGGCATTGCTTGGTGGCACCATCCCTGTGGTGGCAGTGCTTGGTGGCAGTGCTGTGGTGGCACTGTCCCTGTGGTGGCACTGTCCCTGGGGTGGCAGTGCTGTGGTGGCACTGTCCCTGTGGTGGCATTGCTTGGTGGCACTGTCCCTGTGGTGGCAGTGCTGTGGGGCACTGTCCCTGTGGTGGCACCGTCCCTGTGGTGGCAGTGCTTGGTGGCAGTGCTGTGGTGGCACTGTCCCTGTGGTGGCACTGTCCCTGGGGTGGCAGTGCTGTGGTGGCACTGTCCCTGTGGTGGCAGTGCTGTGGGGCACTGTCCCTGGGGTGGCACCGTCCCTGTGGTGGCAGTGCTTGGTGGCAGTGCTTGGTGGCACTGTCCCTGGGGACAGGGAGGCTGTCCGTGTGCCTGTGGCTGGAGCTCTGCCAGGCTGGCAGGGGCCGAGTGCCCGGGGCTGTGCCAGGCCCTGCAGAGCCTTCACCATTGTGTTTGTCCCCGAGGTGCTGGGCCAGAGCCGGCGGAGCAGCCTGTCCGGGTGCCAGCAGTGCCTCTCTGTCACCAGCAGCATCCTGCTGTCCTTCTTCGTGTCCCCCATCATCACAGCCCTCACTGTGGGTGAGTGCCGAGGGGTGGGTGGCACCGAGGGCGTGTCCGGGGCTGGCAGTGACCCTCGGTGCCCCCGCCCGCAGGTGTTGGCGTGCCCCTGGTGCTCACCTACGTGTACGGGACCGTGGTGCTGTCGCTGTGCCGGAGCCGCTGGGGCTGCAGGGGCGGCCGTGCCCCCGGCGAGCTCGGCGTGGTGGAGCTGGACAACCTGGCCAAGCGTGGGTGCCCGGGAGCCGGCAGGGCTGGGCCGTGCCCCGCGTGCCGGGGGCAGTCCGTGGAACGCGTGTTTGTGTCTCTGCAGTGAACGAGCTGTGGTCGGCGCTGCCCAACCCCAGGGTGGCCGAGGACGGAGCTCCGGACGGCGCCGCCTCCCTGTCCCTGCCCAGCAGCGGCCGCAGCCAGCGCCCGGCGCGGCCGCAGGGGGACAGCCAGTCTGCCAGCACGGTGGCCCTGGCCGGGAGCATGCTGAGCGAGGGCCAGGACGCCTCTGACAGGTAGGCAGGGTGCCGAGGGGCTGGCACATCCTTTCATCAGCTGTGCTGGGCAGGGACGGGCTGTTCCCCTTGGGGCCGCTGCCCTCAGGCCCGTGTCTGTCTGTCTGTCTGTCTGTCTGCAGGGAAGGTGTCACCATCGAGGTGGAGGTGTCGGTGGAGGCGGTGCCACGTTCTGCCCGGCAGCAGAGCCTCAGCAGTGCCCTGAGTGGGCAGAGCCTCTCTGGGGACTCCCTGGGTGCCACCAGTGACAGGGGCAGCTCCGTGGGTATCCCTGTGGAGTGATGGGGGCCCGAGGGGGAGTCCTGACCCACACTCGGGCCCTGTGCCCTCTGCCAGCACACCCAGCCCTGGGAGCTGCTCCTGGGCCGGTGCCAGCTGCACCCAGCACTGCTGCACCCTGCACTAGCCCTGTGCACCCCTTTCCCAGAGGCACCACTAGGAAATAAAGCTGCTCTGCTTTCTTTTCACTAGGAAATAAAGCTGCTCTGTCTCCCGTGGCAAAACTCCCCCCTGGCAGCCCACTGGTGTGCACAACAGGCATCACATCTGACCCGGGTGAGGAAGAGGCCACCCAAGCCGTGCTGGGTTATCTGTGTGGCCTCTGCCCTGCCTGTACCAGCTGATCTGCCCCAGAGCAGGCTGCAGGGCTAGGGGAGGGCAGCAGCCCCCCAGCTCCCCTCTCTGCTCTGGGCCCCTCAGGGATCCGTCCTGCAGCCAGGCCAGTGTGCAGGGAGCACCATGGGCTGTAGGGGACCTGTTGCCAGATGGGTTTCATAGTCTCAGGCCCTGGGATCCTTGTCACTGACTCCACTGCAGCATCGTGGGGAGAAAAAGCTGCTGCTTCTGAATGTTTTGCTGCTCCTGAATGTTTTCTGCTCAGAGGTGGGCAGTCACAGAGTGAGTAAAGGATTTGGGTTGGCAGGGAACTTAAAGCTCATTGCTGTCCCTTGCCATGGGCAGGGACATCTTCCACTAGACCAGGCTGCTCCAGGCTTCATCCAACCTGGCCTTGAACACTTCCAGGGATGGGGCAGCCACAGCTTCCCTGGGCAGCCTGTGCCAGGGCCTCACTAGGGAAGGATTTCTTCCCAATACTCCATCTAAGCCTGCCCTCTGGCAGTGGGAAGCCATTTCCCCTTGCCCTACCCTCCATGTTTCTTGGAGCCCCTTCAGGCCCTGTGACTCTCAGCTCTCCCTGGATCCTTCTCTTCTCCAGGCTGAGCATCCCCAGCTGTCCCCACAGCAGGTGAGGTTTGTGAGTTGTCCCACTTGTGCAGCCTCCTCCAGCTGCTCTGGGACTCCCATGTGATGGGGCTGTGCCTTTGGCAGTGCCTTGCCCTACAGATCTTCCCTTTCCCAGGATGAACTCCACCCTTGTGGTCCTGGGCTGCTGTCTTGGCTTCTGCAGTTCAGGCTGTCCCTCCCCAGCCCAGGTGCTGCCTCTCCTGGCACCTTTCACCCTTCCCTGGCACCCCAAGCCTCAGCTCCCCACCCTGCCTGGTGGCTCTGCAGTGAATTGTCCAGCCCTGACGTGCTCTGGTGTCTGCAGTGTCCAGCTGGGCCCTGCATCCCTGTGTGAGCCCCCTCAGAGCCTCACACACCCCGGTGCTGCAGCTGGATGTGCTGCTCGGGCTGTGTCCACGTTCCCCTGGCATGGGGCTGCCTGAGGACACCTCTCAGGAACACTTTTCTCCTTTGTTCTCAGCACAACTTCCACTTGCTGATGCTGGGTTTATCTCGGGGTCACTGGGAAGGGACTGCTCAGTACCTCACACTTCCTCCCTGCTATCAACATCCTGCTCAAGGCTACTCCAGATTCTGAATACACAGAATGAACAGGCACAGGGACAAGCAGCCCTAAAGTATTAGTTATTTCTGCAGCCCCTGAGAGCCTGAGCTGAGGCAGCTTTGCTTGATGACATTAAAACCAGTTTGGCTCAATTGCCACGTGCTGTCATCCCGTTCCAGCTGCCAGGCATCCATCTCCAGAGGGTTTGGTTAAACAAAGTTAAACTTTGTTCCTGGTCATCAAGGTTTGTGATGCAGTCTCCAGTCTCTGTGGAGTCCCCAGAATGGCTGTGATTCGTGGTGACCTCACATTAGTCACCACGATGACCATTTCCTGTGTGCCCTGTTGATGTTTTATGGTGCTGATTTTACTCAGAACGCTCTGTGGTGGGTGCTGTGCCACAGCAAAGGCCCTCAGGGCTGCAGGTGTTTGCCTTGCCTTGCTGCAGCTGCTCAGGGCACAGGTGCAGGCGTGCTGGTAGGCTCAGTGCTGGCAGCTCACCAGGAACCGAGGAGCACGGGGTGCTGGGGCTGGGCAGGGAGGTGCCCTGGTCACCTCCAGTGTGACTGGCTGGCACAGGGGCCCAGGATGGTCAGACAGGGGTGCCTGAGGGCCAGGGGAGCCCCTGTGCTGCCCACAGAGCTCCTGGCTCCCTGCAATCCTGGGGCACCTGGGACAGCTCCAGGCTGTGGGGAAAGGAGGGACTGGGGGAAAGAACAAGGGTGGGAAATGCACATGAAAGGCACCAGCTGTGTGTGTGACAAGGAAAGAAATAATGCACCACCACAGAGTGCTCTTCTTTTGCAGTGGGCTCTGTCTGGCACACAGGGAGAGCGCACCTGTATGGCCCACACCCTTCCATCAGTGTTTCACAGCCCACGGCTTCGCTCCTGCTGGAGCAGCCACAGGTACTGACCCCCCTTGTCCGAGCTGTGCATCAGGGAGGAGCTGCCTCCTGACACACCTTGACAGAAGGTGCAGCTCTGTGGGTGCTGTGTGCAGGGGAGCTCAGGGGCCTGCCTGGTGCCCCATCCCTTGAGCAGACACAGCCTTTCTCCAGAGGCTCATGTCCACTCTGTGAGACACCTCACAAGAGCCAGCCTGGGGAAACTGGGAGCCACAGGCCAAAACCCTGCACTGATCCAAGACCACAGGGACAAACGTTCTCCTCCCCACCCACCTTCCTCACTGCTCCCTCCAGGAAAGAACCAAGGACCGAGACCACACCTGTGTTTTCTGGTCTTTTAGTTTGAAAAAAGTATTGATTGAAAGTGTACAACTGAACACCGCGTGGCTGCAGCACCACCGCCAGATTGTTTCACAAAAAAAACCAGAAAGGGCCTTAAATAATCGGGTGCAGATTAAAAAAACCTCAACAGTGAAAAAGTTCTTCCCTCCAAACAGAAATTCACAGGCACAGAAATGGCAACAACCACATGGAGACAATGGGGGGACATCTCCTCCTGCTCCTTGGCGCGGCGCTCCCGGGCGCGGCTCATCCCGGCTCCCTCTTTGGAATGGTTACGGATGAACAGTGGACATGCCCTCGCTAACCAGACCCGCCCACCCCCCACCAGGACACGGACAAACAAGGCCTCTGCTAAGGCTAAAAAAGGGACAAGACCTGCAGTCTTGAGTTCAGCATGGGTAAGAAACGAGAGTCTGGTGAGCACAGCCCAGTCCCCAGGCAGGCCCAGCTACTCCAGTTTGGCCTTCTTGGTGCTGTCCCCACCGTTCTCCTCTGCTGGTGCCGCTGCCTCGCCCAGTTTCCGCTTCCCACTCTCGGCAGGCGGGTGTGTGTTGCGGGGCTTGAAGCTGATAATGATGCACGTCATGTTATCGCAGCCCGTGCCGTCCCCTGAGGTGTCCGGAGCCAAGCACTGATCCAGCAGCTGGGGAGGGACAGGGTAAATCAGCACAGAGAGCAGACACACACTGGGACACCACCCTGAGGCACTGGGCCCGCTCCAGACCTGAGAGTGGCCAGGGGGGCCAGGCCAGACCTGTGCAGGAGGAGCCAAATGCTGTTCCCACCAGGCAAGGGACAGAGATGGGCTCGGCTGCCCCGGGTTTGTGAATGTGGGCGCAAAGTCCTTGGGCTGCACAGCACCCCTGGGTCAGACTGGGCTGGAGTGCCCAGGGAACCCCTCTGAGGGAGCAGGAGGGCAGAGCCAGCACAGAGCAGGGATGCAGGAATGCCACATTGCTCCCCCTTACCTCTTCTACAATGGAGGAGAGTGGCCGCAGGACTCCGTTCTCATCCTTCTGGGTGATCTTGGACTGGATGAAATCCACCACCTCCTGGCTGCTCATCACGTTCCTGCAGAGCAGAGAGGTCAGGAAGGCAGGCAGAGGGAGCACACGTGCCACAGGGTCCAACAGGCCTTCCTCAGGCTCAGCTCTGCAGGAAGGCTGGAGCAGTGATGCCCCAGAGGCCCCACTCACCAGATTCCATCACAGGCAATGACCATGAAGTCGTGGTCATCGTTTATTGTCAGCACTTTGATGTCAGGCAAGGCAGAGATCATCTGCTCCTCTGGAGGCAGGTTCTTGTTCCGCTTGTAGAAGTGATCCCCTGTGGTGGGGAGGAAGATGTCTGGGCACAGGCAGTGTGTGCCCTGCCACAGGGCATTCCCACTGGGATCAGAGGTGCTCCCACAACCTGGGATCAGGCTGTGGGCCACCAAGCAGAGGAACCATTGCAGGTTCCAGGTGTAGGCTCTGGCAAGCCCAGCGAAGAGGGGTCTTGGCCAGCTCAGCCTGTCCTTACTCCAAACCAAGTGTCCCTTCCCCACCTCCTGGGGCCAAGGGCACACAGCCCCTGTCACCTCCGGAGAGGCTGGGGCTGCCCATCCCTGGAGGCGTGTAAGGCCAGCCTGGATGGGGCCTGGAACAACCTGCTCTAGTGAAGGTGTCCCTGCCCATGGCTGTGCCTGGAATTGGTTGAGCTTTAAGGTCCCTGTTCCCACCCAAACCATTCCAGGATTCATTGTATGATTCAAAGTTCCCTTGAGAAAACTGGCCCTCAGCTCTGACTAGCAGCTTATCAGCTATCATCCTATGAAAGGACTTCCAGGGCCACCACAAAATAGCAGGTGGGAGTGCCAGTGTCTCCCTAGATAAACTCCATATTTCCATCCTAGAGGTGTGTTTCCTATCTTTTACACTGAGAGAATGATTTCAGTGGTTTGGGTCCTTCTGAACACACTCAGACAAATAAATGGGCTCAAACTGTCATGAAGGCAGGTCCCCAGGAAGCAACACACCAAGATTCCTCAATAACCCAGTGAGCAGGAAAAGTCCTGTTCCAGAGGCAGCAGTCTGGTTTTGGGACAATTTACATGAGGCGGCTTCTGACAACCCAGCTGCTGGCACAGCAGCCTGGGATGTGTCAGATGCTGCTTTCCGCTGGTGTCCAACTGCTTCACGGCCGTTTTCTCCAATTGGACTGAAATCTCCCATCAAACACTGAAGAGGTTTCACTATCTCATTAAATACTGTCCCACAGCCTCAGAGGCTGGCAGTGCTGCCAGCACTGTGGCTCTGCCGAGGCCAGCCCTGCCAGCACCCCCTCCCTGCTCACCGATAGCCCTGGAGAGGTTGAGGCCGCCGTTCACCCTCCCGTCCATGGTGACCTTGCCACCAGCGTTCTTTATCCTGGCCAGCTCCACCTCGTCCTCCGGCTTGTGGTCGTAGGACATGTCCACGGCCTTGCCGCCCTCGGACACGACGCAGCGCGAGTCGCCCGCGTTGGCCACGATCAGCTGCTTGCCGCGGATCAGCGCCACCACCGCCGTGGTGCCGCTGTCTGAGCCAGGCTGCGGAGAGAGTGCTGGTGAGATTTCTTTCTCCATCTCTGTCAGGTCATTAGGGACACCAGCACCAGCTGCACAGCCCCAGCAGTGTCCCAGACCCCAGGGTAAGGTGCTTGCCCCGGATGAGCCCCACCACCGCCGTGGTGCC